TCCCTACAGACACATGGCATCAATTTCTCAAAAAAACAAAAACTCTATACTTGAATGTAAAATTGGCTCGTTAAAAAACAGAGTAGTAGGCACACTCACCTCTCAACCATTTATGGATAGTTTATTTTTTCCCCCCACCAAACAGTAAAAAAAAAACAAAACCTCTCAGCCTTTCACTTTTCATAAAGCCTTTAAATTATTGTGAACTTCTGCATGACCAAAGCAAATGACACTCTTCAGGGTGATCGATGAGCTCCTACAATCATCCCTTATGCTATTTAGCCAGTCTTCAGTAAGCAGCATGTAAGACTGCCGATAGCTATTTTTTAAGAATGCCTCAAATTCCTATAGTGCACTAGGGCATGTGGTTTTGCCTAGCAGTCACTGGCAAGATGCTGCCTCAAGAACTAGATCACTCTTTATCAATAGTGCTCAGTATATTCCTTTGCCCAACACTTGGTTCAAATATGTCCCCCAATTGGTAAACTAGTCCCAAGGATGTCTTCAGACAAAAATTGGTCTCTGCATGGCCTGTGCCCTTGCTTTTCCTTCTCAAAGATATAAGGCAGTTTACATCCAAATACATTTTTAAGCAAAGCGTTCATGAAGCTAAAATTAAACAGACAGTCTGATTTTAAAATATTTCCATGTAGTTTTTGCATCTTCAATAACGTAGCAGGATGTTAACGTAAGACTGCAAAAACTGAAAGTTACTTATTCTGTAAATAGTTCTATACCTTGGAAAGTAAAGTACCACCTGTGCGGGATTCTCATTCTTAAATCTTTACAACTCTCATCTCCAATTTATTAATCACTGAGGGCAGTAGTAATGAGAAAGGCGGCACAAGCTAGGCCCCCAGCATGCTATACAATGTTAGCGATGCCTTGTTGAGATCCTTTACCTATTTGCAAAATTGTCTTTTGGCCTCATGTAGTTAGATTCTTTTCAAACTCCAGAGGTCATTGCCTTGAGTGTTTGGTATGCTTTAGTAGTACTTGCTTTTGGCAGCTACTGAATGCTCTTGGCATTCCAAGTTTGTATGGCTCAACACTTAACTAATGTGCCAGCAGTTATCCAGTTACACAAATAAACTCTGCTGGGTAACACCACACTCTTACTATGGCACGTCAATGCCTATTTTATTCCTATAAGCTAGCATCTGTGTATGCACGCTTTGCTGGTGAAGCTTATTTTTGTTAAATGTAGCGTTTCTCCTGATGCTGCAGGGGATTTATTTATTTTTTAATCAGGTACTGTGCTTTTGGAGAAAGAAAGACTATTCAATAGCTTCATATCCCTGCCTTGTGTCACAGGACTATGCCCAAGATTGAGGCAATTCAGTAAGTGAAGAACGCCACTGTGTGTATACATGAGTGCATGAGTTGAGAAAAGCTAGGATGCCATTCTGATAGTTACCTTGGATTAACAAAACCACAGTTTAAATCTAAACATTAGCGTGCACCTACTGATTTTAAATGTTAAACTGTGCTGCTGAAAGTCAGACCTTAGAGTCAGCCTCAACTTATAACACACAAAACAAACCCCACAAACGTCTTACTGGAACACTAAATAAGTTGCCCTTCTATCAGACGTAGTACAAACATTGACACCAATTGATATATTACTGAACTGTTCACGTTGCTCCTTAGGGCCATTACAACTCTATAGCTTCCAAGTTATTAACAGGCAAATATCATAGAAATATTGGCATAGACAACGTTCAAAGATCACTCAGAAATGCTCCACACAGCAAGCACAGATTGTCAAATCTTTCTATAGCTCCTAGCAGAATTTTCCAAAAATGCAGATAAGGCCACAATATATGAACTCCACACCTCATTGAGAGTTAATATTTCAACTAGTGGATTGTAGGATTTAATTTTACAAGAAGGAACATACATTGTCCCCTGTATAGCGTTTCTCAGCTGCTTCAGAAAGGTAAAAAATATATAGTGAACATTACTCAATTACTTACCTCAGGTCTGAGGGAGGGAAGGATAACAATTTCTTGCAGTGCTTGCTTAGCCAGCTCCTGCCCAGCAATATCATCAAATTTAACAGTTGGCCCACTAACAAAGAAATGGAATATCAATTAGTCTAACAATAGGACACTATTTTCTTGGACTGCAGCTGACTAACTGAATGCGTTTAACTGCTTATAAATAACCATTTTGAAGCTAGCTACAATTCATAATTCTGCACAATATGCTATAGAAGCATTAAGTCACTTTTAAAAAGGATGAAAATTAAACATTTCAATGATTTATCCAATGCAAAAAATTTACAAACATGGGTGTGCATTCTTTCCATAAAAGGAATAAGATTAGCTTCTTATTTAAAATATATCTTAAGAAGCTACATTTCTGAACAAAGTACATTTTTGTGCATTTGATTTACCTGTCAACAATTTCATTCAGAATAAGATTAGCAAGATTGCTGTCCACATTTCTAAAAATCTTCAAGTCTTTCTTTTTTCGAGCAGCCGTTGTAGGAGTAGAAGGCTTATTAGTTCTGCTATTTTTTGGAGTAACCTTAAGAAAACACAATCACTTGAAAAAGTAATACAATTAAAAAACATATGTAATAGGATTGTGTGTACATCACAAATCAAGTTCTAAAATTTAGTATAAAAAAAAATTTTAAATTGTCACATTTGACTATAGTAGTTTGTCACAGGCCACACTCACTATGCTAGAGCATTTCAGCCTTCAGCTGTAAGTTTTTTCAGAAGTTTAATACTAGTGCTGTTACAATATGAAGATTAGTCCGTTCACTTTCCATACAATGACTGATATTTTTCCAGAGAGCATTCATAAAGACTTTGAACTACTGCCAGTTTTGACATTTTCAGCCTTTTACTAGTGAAGCTACTTCTGTAATGCTTGGTAATGGAGCCCCTTCTTTTTCACTTCAGGCCATGCCAGTCATTCTAACAGTTTTCTATCTATTGTCCATTCTAATTATTTTCTCATTTTTTTCCTACACCAATTGTTTGATGTTTAGGGTAGATGTTCTGTCCTACTGGTGAAGGCGTTTTATTACCATACTTCAAAAGGAAGTGGAACAAAGCGATTTTCACGTTTTATGAGGAACATACAAAATATATTCCAGCACCAACTTAACTGTCAGGCAAAGGAGTTAGTTTTGTTTTTCATTTTTTCCTTTTGCTTTTTTAATTTCACTTTGGAACCAAGCCCATACATAGGAAGTTTCAGACATATAATTTAGCATTTAAAAAAAAAAGTTAAGTGACAAATATGTTGACAGCATTCATATCCTAGATTTCAACCTTGTGGTTATGAGACTGTAAGACATTAAACTAAAACCACAATTTGCCACAAGTTTTATACAAAGCATCCACTGACTGCTAATATTTTTGTCCTTGGCATACCTTGTGCGTTGAAGTTGCAGGATTAGTTCCTTGTCTAGATACGGCTGATATCGCACTGTAACTAGGAGTTCTATGGTGACCTGAAAGACCTGTGGGTCCAGTTTTTGCAACGGTTTTTGAACGAGGAAGAGAATTACTTGTGTGCGCTAATGGATCCTTCTTTTTTGGAACTGCTCCACTTTCTATAAAGGAAAAACCAATGCCATCGTGAGAATATATTAAATGATCAATATCCTATTAGCATAAAGAGTGTACTTCAAGTCATTTATTCCAACTTTGTTGCCTACAAGCTGAGACTTGTTTTTTAAAAAAGGTCAAAGCCTAATATTTTAATGATGCCATAAAAAAATATTATTCTGCTTAATTAGCCTTTTTTTTAAAAAAAAGAAAAAGCAGCTAACAGATCTCAAGCAAACTTCTTTTGTAAAAAAATGTTTATAAACAAACGTTGAATTAAGTCTCATAACGGAAAAAGGCATCTTGCATTACCTATAGTGGAGTATTACAGAGAAAGATGAATAAAAGATTCAAACATTTCAGGAGGTATAAAAATTCTACAGTAAAATCAGAAAGGTGACATCTCCAGTTGCCAGGTTCAGAGCACTACTTCCTCACAGAACTACGCACCGCATGATGGATGTTAGTTGGCAGTAATTTTATGAGCACTTTCCACATTTGTTAAAGTCATTTTATTCTGTCAAACTAAGATTTATAGAAATTCCCAACTTAAACAACTGAAGGTTGCAGTTTAAAAATCTGAGGGACTGAGAATAAGAAATTCAGAGTAGTTTCCTCAAACAAAAAACAAAAAACCCCCAAACCAACAACACCCTCCCCCTCTGAAGAAGCTTCCCTTACCATCATAACTCATGGGAATGTGGTTTTATTGTAAAGTATTATTAAAAAGAAAAAAAAAGTGTACACAAAGTGCAATACACTCCACATATGCCTGCCCTGATTCTCCTCCAAAGCAAGAAGGCAGGCTTCAGCAGGTAACCGACACTAACCACAGCTGGCTATATGTATTGAGCAGCTAATTTGGCTTGTAAAGTGAAGACGACAGGTATATACACTGGTTTCTGGTCTCAATTCAGAAGGTTCACATGGTAAAACAAGGTTCTCTGCCTCAGGACTGCCGAATGGCATGAAAATAAATAGCATCTATGGTCCAATAAAATCCAGACACACTGATAGAGGAGTGGTGTTGGTTCTTCTATCAGTATATACAGGAAGAGAAAGCAGTACACGTTTCCCTCACTTTATGCTGCACATGTTCCTGGAAAACGGCATATAACTTGACTTCGCATAAAGTGAATCCACTTTACAGTGTAACAAAAATAGGGATACGTTCCAAGACCCTGACTGTATTGACCCCCAGACCCATTTCTACCACTTTTACAAGACAATTTTGGTACTCACCAACAGCAGACAGTAGACACAAGCACAGAGTGGTAGTGAATGTTACCATAATGGGGATGGCAACTACAGGAACACGTGTTGCAGACAACGAGTGGGAAGCACAGATCCACACGGGAGACTATATTTTAGTGTGCATCACTCCCACAATGCACTGCACAAAGTAGCCAACTGTGGGCTTCCCCCACACCAACTGCATAAGAGAGAATTTACCTTGCATACATCCAATTTTTGGTATAAGAAGGGTCATTGCATGAGAGCAAATTTGTACATACAGAACCTGCATAAAGCAAGGGAAACCTGTATTTTGTAGCTTGTAATGGGAGCATGGAAAAAGCAGGCTTAAGGCAACTTCTAGTTAGATAAACGGACAAGGTAAAGTTAAGAAAGGTCATTTCATGAACTTTCACAACAGTTTAAAATGTTTTAAATAGAAGTCAGCAAAGACTGCAATGGAGTATTTTAATTAAATTTGCACACTTTCCCAAAAAGTTGGATATATGATAGTGTGGAGAACTCCCATAAGTCTCCTTGAGACTTTTTTTTTTTTTTTTTTTTTTTTTTTTTTTTTTTTTTTTAGAGAGAGAGAGAGAGAGAGAGAGAGAGAGAAATGCTATTGAGAAGTCAATTTCTGCCTAGAACATACTGCATGCTCTAGAGAAAGTACTTTCAGGAAAAGAAAAAAAAAACTTCTCATCTTTACCAAAACACACAAAAGTAGTTTAATAAAAATATTTCAATGAAATGGAACCCCTAGGTACTACAATTTTTTTTTAACAGAAACTCCCTTATCCAAGAGCCTGAACTTTCTCCACTGTAAGTTAGAAGTTTCTGAAATCACTGAACCATAATTAAGTTGCTGTGGGTGTTTATAACCATGAAGGACATGCTGGCATTGTAAATATTTTACAAGTCAAAACTCTGGTTTATGAGATTCACACACTTTTCAGGCACAGATTAGAGTTTAAGTGAGCCACATCCTAAGGAGTGTGTCTACTCTTGGCTGTGCATTATATTTAAAAAAAAAAAAAATTAAAAAGCTCAAACAAACAGCAAACTGCACATTTGTTGCAGAACATTCTGAGAGTCAGATCTAGTAATTTAAGAGGGGAGGGAGAGGGGGAGTCTGGCTAAAAGAACAAAAATGAAATCACTTCGAGGAAGTTTGTGAAGTTACCCAATGACTTCTTAAAAAGGTGAAAAATATTGTCCAGAAATTTCTTCATTCAGACCCTATGATCAATGACCAAACTTCCCAAAGGAGGACCGGGAGAGGGAAGAAGATTCTAAAGCTCATTCTGAAACTGAAACATATAAATCAAGATCAGGGTAAGAGGTAGTTTAATCTTAAGTACGACTATGGTTCACTCTAATTCTCTAGAGTGGTCCATGGGGGTCATGTTTTCTATATTTTAACTTCCGCATGTAAAAGACTTCAAACGGTGCTAAAAAAATTTCTGTCTAGTTATTTCACAGTTTCATTACAGCATAAAAGCAGAGTTCCCAACACTAGTTTCCACTGAGGAAATGAGTCACTGAAATATCTGATCAAACAGTTCAAAATACAAGCTTAAAATGGGTTGCCTTTCTATAAAGTGTGAATAAGGCTACAGCAGGGGTAGGTAACCCTAGCAGAGGTGCCAGAGTATGGCACTCAAAAGCAATTTGCTTGGCACATGCACCTTGGGGCGGATGACAGGAAAGGGGCTAGGACTGCACTGGCCCAACAAGGATCAGGCCCCTCATGGCTGCCCTGCTGTCCAGCCCTGGCACACTAACATCTTACAAGTTGAGGTTGCAGGTGTTTTTGGCAATCTGCCCTAAAACGATGCCAACCCCTGGGCTACAGTTTGCAACGCAGATTTGGGAACAGAGAGCTGTCTAAAAGGCTCAGATCTCAATATAAGGCAATTTTTGGCTCCCATGACTTTAAGCCAGTCTCATGGTTTCTGAGTGTTCAGGATCAGCAATAGTGACATCTTTTGCAGAATGACATACTGTAGGTATTTTAGAGGTAAACATAAGTACATTTTGCTCTGCATATGAAGTACCCAGAAGTCTCAAAACAGTTTTTTAAAACAAAAATTCACCCATGTTATACTACAGGTACTCCTCACTTAACGACCGAGTTCCGTTCCTGTGACTAGGTCATTAAGCAAATTGGTTGATAAGCGAGGAGCTGGCCCTTGATACTGCGTGCCTTGGCTTGAGATGCCGCGCTGCCATTTCAAAGACCAAAGTGCTTGTGCTTACAACCAGTTCTCGCTGGTCGTAAGTCCGCGCGGTCGTTAAACAGGTAGGTCGTTAAGTGAGGAGTACCTGTACAGTAAGACTAGTTTCTTCTCTGTGAGCAAACCTAACACACCAACACATTACATCTGTAAAAATATAACAGAAACAGGATGCAATCTGATTTAAAGAAGTCTTAGCATCTAGACATCTTGATAAGGATGAATTCCTACATAAAGAACTATGGAGATTTACTAATAAAAATGAGACTAAAATCCTGAACTGAAGCCAGGCTACCTGCAATTATCTGTGAAGTTCATGAATGTGGACAGCCCACCAGCAAAATGTCCACTCCGATTCCATACACCACTGTGTGTTAAAATTAGCACTGATCAAAAAGGCTCTGTGCACTTATTTATTTTTTTTTTTTCCAGTTAGCCTCAAAACTGAAAATGTAGGCTACAGTGACTAACATAAATGTAATGAGGGTAAAGACTTCCAGGCCATCATATGCAATAGCCTTTTGCTAAAATCTGCACTGGTTTATGTAAGGTAGTAAAAGATGTTCTGCTAATGGCCACAGGACAAGTATTCTGACCAAGATGTTATTTCACATTTAAATTCTGCAATGAAAAAAAACCCTCAAAAGTATCTAGTATTTGGCACTGTAAGGATTAGAACAGAATAATATCAATGGCTTAATCATAGTGGTATAATTGCATCAAACCAACCTTGGAATAATTTGTAGACTGAGTTTACAAAAGCTTGGTCAACACATGAATAAGTGAACATGTTTAAGTTAACAATGCCTACCGAAATAAAGTTTTCCTATAAGTCTTCCCTTGCCGTAAGAGAAATCCAAGAGCTAAAGTAGAAATCTAGCCTCACCTTGCTGCTTCCTTCTTTGCCAATACATAAGTTCAACGAGCGGTTGTAGCTGCCAGATACAGAAGCACAGACACAGACTGCCCAGCAGGGTATTAAGACCATCTGACATCTTATGTTTCTGCTCAATTCACCTACCAAAAACGCTATACTCTTATGCATCCAAGGCAGAAAGTAGCCAAAATTGAGTAAAGGATTTCAAAAGAATTGGTTGATTAAATTATGATGAAGAATACTGAACCTGACTCCACTAGAAGAAATGGACTGAACTATTTTTATCTAATAGCCATTTGAATCAGCTTTAGACAAAAGCACCAAAAAGCCCTGCTGAAGCACCCGGTCTACACAGATGCTGCAGAGCCGGGGTCAAACAAATGTGCTGCTTCTTCTGGTAAAGAGTGTGTGTGTGTGTGTGTGTGTGTGTGTGTGTGTGTGTGTGTGTGTGTGTGTGTGTGTGTGTGTGTGTGTGTGCGCGCGCGTGCGTGTGTGCGCGTGCGAGAGCGGGGGGTTGTTTTTTGTTCAGGTAATGCCCATATACTTGGAGGAAAGAACAATTCTACCACACAAGCTTAGGTCTCCTGACATCTTTTTACCACTTCAGACGAATCAAAGTAGAAAAGAGAAATTAGTCCAGCAATCCTTTACTGATTTCAGAGTCTTTTGTAATGAAATTCCTAAAAATCTTAATTCACATGGAACGCTTTTCACAAAACATTCTGAAATATGGCCAGCTAGCACCTTCTCCTCTGACAGTTACTAAGTTCAGAGACATCGTTTCTCAAATCTAAATCAGTAACCAAACTTCTCTCCATCAGTCTTAGATGGGGGGGGGTGGGGGTGGGGTGATGATACAACATTTCATGATTCATAGCATGACAAGTCCTGCTCTACCACAGATTTCTCATGTCATCAAGGGCTCATCACTGTCTCGTCAGCTCCCCACCTTTGAAACAGAGTTATAGCACTTCCTACCCATACATGGCTCTTATAAAGATCAATATATTGAAGGTTGTAAGGCACTCTTATTATAGGAGTTCTGTAAAGTATCCAAAATACAGTTGCAAAAATTAAAGAGATTATTTCATGTATTAGGGCAGACTGATGAAACTGGACACTTCTTAGAGTATCAAACTGCATCCTGAACTGAGTGTAGAACTGAAGCTCTTTGTAAAGTTTTAAATTCGTTATGGAAATCAGTGCCATTTTGTTGTTGCTCAGAACTTCTCTTTTGGGGTTGTGTCTGTGATGAGGGGAAAAAAAAAAAATCTTTCTATTACAGATGAAGCAGAATCCTTCTCCCAATTTGATTCTTGCCACGAAGGATAGAATAGAGCTTATAACTGGGAACGTCTGAAGTGCAGCAAATAAATGCTACAATTATCTGCATGCTGTCTTCAATTCTGGTAAGAAATATAAAACCACTTTTTTCTAGGACACAGAAGGGGTGGAGAAAATTGAGCAGAATTAAGAAGGTTAGCACATGAAAGACAAAGCAATCTGTAAGCAGCTTTGGGCAGAATGCTGACCAACAAAGCAGCATATTCCATTTATGGGCTAAACAAATTAAGATCAGCAACCAAAGGTTATGTTTGAACATTTCATAGCATGGGTGCTTAAGCAGAGTTTCTTAGGTAGACACATAACTGTCAACTTAAAATAAATCAGACTTAAAAATCAAATACAAGAAACAAAAAGTTAGTGTAATTGTAAAGTTACATAAGAGGGTTTTTTTAATTTTATAGTCTAATTTTTCCATAGAACTTTTCCACTTCTCCACTTGTGTAACTTGCATGCCAGAGAGACAATAAAGCAGTAACTATAGAACCATAAAGATAGACATAATCAAATAAATTATTTAATACTTTTAAGTAAGTTTCAAATTGAGTCACTTTAACTGGCAAACTGTTTTGCTATTGCTTTAGGGTTTTTTGCCAATTATGTTGCATTTTAACCTCTTAAATATTATCATTATGGTCTGCATGGAAAATAAATTAATAAGTTGTGTTCATAGTTTTGACTATACCATGCTTTTAGTTTAAAAAAATCCTTCAATTCTTAAGATAGCTTATGAGTCTCAGAAAGGTTTTTGCTCCATACATGCAGGCAAATTAGAAATAAGTGTCTCCTGATACTTTCAGTATTCCTGGCATATTTTTGGAGAAAATTAATTCTACACTTGTTAGATTGAAGACCAAATCACAAGCAATGGTAGATAACTTTTACTTTGAGCAAATGGTACAGTTACATATAGAAAAATTATATCTAATCTCACCAAACTAAAATAGCACTGATAGTATTAATAGTATTAATGTTCACTTGCATTATAAGCCTAAAAAAAATCCTACATATGCCATCACTACAGAAGTAACAGTTTGCTAGTAGCCTTGATATTTGGCATTTCCTGATACTTGAACTATAACACACGACCATAATATTGCCCTTAAAGTATGTAACAGGAAAGGTGCTTTCACAATTGTGACTATGATATATCTTTTGGATTCTGGCGTTTAAAAACCTTATTCGGGCCAGAAGACAGCCAAGTACTCTAACAGAACAAATAATATTAACAAATACCTTTGTAAGAATGGACGGTATTTATATAAAACCTTTAGAATAGAAATGAGCACATAGATTTTTCAAAGTAAACATGGGGCCAGGACACACAGCATTCCATAATTTCCTTACAATATACCAGAAACTGATAGACATCCCCCGATTAATTAGGTGCTGGTGAAACCAAACCCACCTGACTGGAGATGTCCATTGCGGCATGCCAGGTTAGTACTGTCATTATAGACCTCCATTTGCGGCTTGGAAATTTGCAAAACTGCCTGCAGCTTCTCTATGCAACAAACAGAGGGGAGGGAAAAAGGACAAAATAAACAAATAAAAACAAAAATGAACCAATGAACTTTATGTACTCTAATCACACAGAAAAGTCAAATTTAGCTTCAGTCTCCTTTGTAAAAGTATTGCTGCCTATTCTAATTGTTTTTGAAACTGTAAGTTGTATATAGCTATATTCATAGATATAAACTAGCTGTCAGTAGCTAAAATAAACCAAAATCAAAGCATCAGGATTTCCCCTTCCTTTTCCTCTCCAAGTTAATGCATAGGCTTTGTGCAATAAACCCGGTGCTCAAAGTTCTTAATTAATGGCTCCCATTGACCAACTTCAAGGAGTAGCTCCTTTTTCCATATATGATACGCTTCATTTGAAGGTCAAGGGGGAAGCAAATGAAAAACAAAACCTAGTCCACATTTTTCAGTTAACTCCTCTGCTACAAATAAATTTTACTTGTCAGGTTTGATATTCAAGATACTGGATGACTTTCTAGATGTCATATCTGAATAAAAGTCTATTTAGGTCTTACTCCCTAGGCCACCATGTACAATTTTGAAGTTCCATAAAATACCCTTATTTCTGAAGAAGTTAAAACTAATTTCAGTAACATCTGAAAGCTAATTTCATGAAAACAGCTTACGATTGAATAAATAATTTAAAGGGACTCTCTCATAAAGAGTCATGACACTAAGTAAGTCTGTTCATGGCACCTAGTCCATTCATAGTATTGGGCCTTTACAAGTTCATCTCTCTCAGCTTTTTTACTTTAAATAGATACACTCACCTTCCCAAGTCCTGCTCTGCTAATGCTAACCTTTATCATCTACATATGTCAGGTTCCTCAACAGAACTTAGCCTTCATGCTAAGTTTCTACAGTAATGGGCACAGTAACAAAACCCAAATAAAATACAAAAACCCAGAACCCGATTCCATATTGATGCACAGAATATAGCCTAAAGCCACTGCCTTATTTTCCTCTCTTTAAAACCTCTTAAAACATTGCCAGATACAATCTGCTAAAAAAAAAGAAAAGATGCTGGAAGTAGTCTTTTTTTAACTTGTTTAGTACCAAACTATTCTCATTACTGTTCCTAAGTATTCCAGCCCCCACACCTCCAGCTCCTTTTAAGGGCTTATTACATCCATTTTGCCAAAGAGCACTGTGTTAGACAACTTTGTTTATTATGGATATAGATATCTTCAACAACAACAACAAAAAAGAAAGAAAGAAAAATAAGGACAACTGGTAGGGGCTCTTCATAACTTACCAACATGAGTGCATTGATATATACCGTATTTACTCGAATCAAAAATGACTCCGATTATAAGATGACCCGCCCCCAATAATACAATTCTATATAGAGAAAATTTGTAAATTTGATATTTTTTTTCCAGGTATAGAGCCTAATTATTCTGGAGGTCTGTCTTAAATTTGTCCCCCTCCCACTGCCATAGCAGGGAAAACAAATATGGGAGTCAAGTAGCCCTTTGCCCCTCACCAGCTTCTTTCCCTTGCAGCCCCTTCCCCTCTCCCCCTAACTGTCAGACATTGCTCTTCCTGAACACATGGAATTGAGGAGTAAATTTGAAAACACTGACGTTAAAATAAATTTGTATGTAGTACCCATAGATTTAGTTCACTTCTTGAAACTGCTGCAAGTTTTAGCACAGGCACTCCATAAGCATATTTTAACTAACACTTTGGCACCTGCTTATGTACAGAACAAACTATGCACAATATTAATCCAAAGCCAAAGGGTTCACAACTTATCATATAATAAAGTTAACTGGGCTGGGCCCCAGGGAGTCAACAGCATTTCAAGCCATGGTGACCCCACAGCTCAGCACTACTCAGTATGCATGTGTACTCCAGACACCCAGCACAAAGGATCCACCCATGTGCTAATTAGCCTTGCAAAATCATGACAAGAACACCCAGTGCTAGTCATGAGTCCCGAGATCCTCCAAAAATTGATATGCAGATGAAGCGCAAGGCAACCTGGTCTGGCTTCACTTCAAGGAGGGTGGGGCCCCACTAAACATATGCGACAAGCTGGGAGAGGGCCTGACCAATGGATGGTGGGTGAACTGTTTGAGGCACCGTTTTGTGATGTTTGCCAGGCATCTAAAGCTGGTGAAGAAACCGCAATCCTTGGAAAAGGGAAAAAAAGTGCAGCTCAATTCTGGGAGTGGAGAGGAAGCTGAAATTTCTGCAATGTGGCTGCTCACCATGACGTGGAAAAGGAGTAGATGCTATGGGGGGCTGCACTCAACAGCATTGTCATATATCTGAGTTAGATAGGCTGTGCTAACCTATATTTGTTGCCCACTCGAAAGGCCCACCAAACTGCCCCAGGCAAACATGACAGTGGAAGGTGTAAACAATTAACTACCTACTCTGGTGCTACCCAGAAACCAAGGGGGTGTGGTGAATAATCTTTACTCCTTGTGGTCATGACCGGGGTCAAGACCCTAAACATAGGGACAGTACTGTTCAGTCACGTGACCAAGCAGCAGGGGACCTCAACAGCCCGCTTGGACCGGTTCATCTCCTGCCTCAGAAACTCATACGCAAGACCAGGAACCTGCTCATGTATAGGCACACAAGCCTCCCAGTTGAGGGCTGTGTCAAAATGGGACAGAGATGCAGGGATACTACAGGAAGTTGCCAGAAGACATCAGGGAGATGGCAGAGATCATGTCGAAAAGAAAGACTGGCACAGACTGTTCAGAGGTGGGACAACCAGTGAAAGTGACAACAACCACAATGACAGAGACGACCACAACAACAACAATTAAAGTGATGAGGGAAAGGACTGGGGAATTGGGAAGGCGAGTTGGAAGGGATGGTAGGTGGAGGAGAGATGAGGAGATGCAGAGGTGGTCCTTTATGCAATTGTTATGGCTAACACGCACACACACACACTTGCCCAATATGGGCCATTAATTTTATAACCACACTCAGTGCTGGCTGCATTTAATCAACTTAATAGTTGATTTCCATTGCTAAGCATGTGCTGCTTTTGGGAGCAGTTTAATGACAGTCAATGCATTTAATGTGGTTTCCTTGTATGTGAATGTAAAATGAGGGGCTTCCCCCCCCCCCCCACATACTGACTGGGGGGAGAAAAAACTGGTCTTGTATTCAAGTAAATACAGCAATACACACAAATAGTTAAGATTTTAATTCATTTACCTATGGCAGAACACAGGCCATTTCTTGCAAAAAAACAAACAAAACAAACAAAGAAAAAAACAACAAAAAACCAAACCCTCAGCCATTTTCATTAGGGTCAACATCTGATGTAATAGTTAAAAATCCTTCTTCTCTTCCTGCATCCTTACACAAGACTCTCTAAAATAAAAGTATCTCCCTGCCGATCCCTAAACTTTTCTTCAATAGGGCTATATCCCCTGGAAGAACCTTAATACCAACTCCCAGGTTGGCGTTTCCTCTTTTAAAGACAAAGCTGTTGTTCATGTTTTTATTTGGAGTGAATGTATAGTAAAAGCAAGAATTAAGTATGAATATTATGTTATCCTTGTCAGATTAGTGTATTCTAATCCAAACCCAAAGTTTAAAATGCCATTCATTAACTTTAAGTTTTACAGCGCCCAAGTACCAATGTAGTGGATAGAGAGGGAAAATTAACTGATGATATTTTGGTAACTGAGGTCAAGTCATTTTGTAAGAGTAATTTTACAGCACGGCTGAAGGTGAAAATACCTCTTCCTGCACAAAACATTCTACCTGGTGAAGGAAACATAGGAAATTGAGCTGAATGTTCAAAGTCCAGTCAAAATACTGGAGGCCTATTTAAACTCTAGGACAACACTTCAATGAATCACTTGATTCTGAAGCCAAAAAAGGAGCACTCCACTTGACCTAACTTATACAACAATCAAAATTGCATCTATGCTGTACGCTTATGTTTATTAACCTTTAGTGAATTAGTAACTTTGTGAAATGTACATGCTTATATAGTTAGCTGAACACTTTTGCCAAAGTCTTGAGCAAACTCTTAGAAGCTTTTATTGCACCTTGAAAATAGTGCACAACAAATTGGGATGCTAAAAACTTTTAAACCTTGTTGGCATAAAAATGTACTAAGCAGGTCAAGCTGGAAAAGAAGTAAATGTATAAGGACAGCAGGTATTATTCAACTTGGATAGCTGCTCTTAATGATGTGCCAAGTACATATCAAAAATAAGACGTATGTCCTTGCTAAATTTCTCAGTATTAAATCTTGTTCAACTGACAGTTCTTCCAACACACTGGATTTCTCAGAAATCCCAGAACTAAAGGATTTCTCAAAATATCTCCTCTGTAAGATACTCACACACTGACTTTGGAAACAAATTTGAAAGAGACTGAAAATCTGCCACCACTGTGCTATAACCCTAGGAGAGCAGAAAAGAAGAGCAGGAAGCTTGTCAAAATGAACAAATTACGCAAAGTTAAGGAGAGAGGAAATTTACCATGCATCAGCTACTCAAGAGGCAAGAAACAGTTACTACAATCCCACAGCAAGAAAAAGCATCTTCTAAGTGAAACATCTAAGTTACCACCATTTAGCTCCTACTTACCACAGTACAGGAGCAGATGCACAAAAGTTGAAAATGAGGCTGTTTCATGTAAGTCTGTGTAATGTGCTATCCAATCTGCACACCAAAAATGTAGGCCTTATATTTCCTTACATGCCCCTATTTCTATTAAAGTCCTGTTTATTAGTGGTAAACTAACCGATTTGTTAGACAACATAATCCACTGTTCGTTTAGCACTAGTAAGCACTATAAAAAAGATGACATGAAGAAATATATACTTTATTTCCTTGCAAGTCCATTTATGTCGTGTAATGGTTCTCCCTATCAGTTATTAGTTAACTGGTAAAAGGGTACCACTTAAGATAGACTGAACTGGCTCAGGGTTCAGGACAAAGGCACAGTAAACTAGGTCAGCCCACAGTAAGGCAGGTCAGTCCACAGTACAATTAT